CGTCGATCATGGCAAAAGCCTCTTGCATCGTGGACCGAGGATCCGCATCGTCCTCCAGCAGCACGAAGCTCATGCTGGTCAAGCGACAATGACCATGTTGGAGCCAGTCTTTATGTGGGACATGGCGAGTTCAGTCCACCCTATTGGTCCACCTGCATTTTCCGCAACTTTTACTATCCGATACACTGGTATAAGGCATTCTGACAGAAATGATTAGCTAATATTTGATTCCTTCATAAATTGTATACCTACATAATAGACTTAATCGAGAAATTAGGCATTATATTTGAAAACTGTACTAGCAAACCCCATCAAAAGATGCGGAGTTCATGTTGTCGTTGTTGCAGCACTCGAATAAAACTTCGTTTGTGGTTCTCGGGCGTGAGTCAGTACAGTGCCATTTCTAGACTTAGGACCAGGGTTGGATTTTGCCGCGGCAATTCATCTAAGATTTGCAAAAACCAAGTCGCTAGTCGCTCGTCGATTGAAAAGCCGAAGAGCCTTGCATACATCCCCTATACATCACAATGAGCCTTCATATAGGAATTATACCTATACTATACACCCTTGTTCACAGCCCCACGTTGTTCACTCCAGAAGAATGGGACGAGCCCAAAGCTTCGAAAGGCAGCAATTTGTCGCCATGCGGTTACCGAAGAAAGGCAATAGGTCTCAGATCGTTTGCAAGCACTGCCTAGCAGCTTTCCAGGACCCGGTGAGACCGGACGCACCCAACCCCACTGTTCTAGTGGCGCGCGATACAAATTACAGAAGTCATCTGGCGCGTTGCCAATACTATAAAGAAGCATTGGACCGAGGAGATGTGTCAACACCACAGCTTCAGCAGTCCATTATGCAGCATTTCGTGCAAGAGAGTGCATCCAATCAAGCGCCAAGTCTAGCTCCAAGCTCGGCGGCGATTTCTGAGTCGAGATCGAGATGCCTTTCTGACTACGCTTCTTCTACAAGTACTGATAAGCGCCAGCGGGGGATCCGTGAGTTTTTCAACAGCGTATATACTGGAGAAGAGCAAGAAGAATTGGAGCGTCTTCTTATCCAGTTCAAGCAGACAATTCGTTACCAGATCGCTTTGTTGAGAAGCTCTCCACAATACGTCTGTTTGTATTTCTAAACCGAACATGCGAGAAAGCTCTTCCCAAGCGAAAGAGGATGGGGACGGCCTTCTAGATAAGTACAGCAAAGTCGAAGAAGAGGGCCATGTTGAGGCGCTCAAGAACCGCCTCGCGTTCAGTGGCGGGCGACTCAATCTTTTATCGGACGTGTGGATGAATGTGGTAAAGTTGCATTTGCTTGGATGCATGCTCGCGCTTTTTGGGACAATTGTTACGTATGGACTTTTTCCGACTGGTTCGAGGCATGATGGTCTTGCCATCGCTCAACAAATGGAGAAAGTGATAAACGAAATCGATTCAAAAAATGGATGGAAGATAGGAGCTGTGGTTACTGACAAACGCTGGCCAGTGTGGCGCATTCTAGCGTGCCGCCGCCCAGACATTGCATATATCCACTGCTTTGCGCACGATACTAACAACATTGTGAAAGCTGTCCTGAACTCCTCATTTCGTAAGCTCACGAAGCAAGCATCACTTGCTACCGTAACATTGAATGCATCGTCTTCAAAATGGCTAGTTCGCGCGCATGAAGTCACCACAACAGTATACGGCAAGTCACTGGGTTTCATCAATCTCTGTGAAACTCGTTGGAACAGTATGTAAGGGTGCTTTGCATCACTTTTGCGTATTCGAAGTGCACTGATTCAATTTTGGGCGAAGTACCATAACGATAATGATTTCCCGCCTGCACTTGAGATTTTTGGCGACCCAGCATTTTGGCGATCGCTTGTAAGAGCTGAAGCGGTAATCCGGCCACTCTCAAATGTATCCTACAAGTTGCAGCGTGACGAAAACTCACTTGCAGATCTTGTAATTTCCTATCGTGATATCTATCGTGGGTTTCTGGGGAACTTTGAGAATTTGGACCTTGTATCGATCGTGGAGAAGAGATGGCAACAGTGCGAGCAGCCGCTAATGCTGCTAGCACTTTTCCTGCATCCGTCGCATGTTCGTGTAGCTGTAGCCATCCATACTGAAGCACCAGAGCTGCGTTTCCTTGAAAGGTTGTGCGGATATGCCACCTACTACCACCGGCGGTACGTCAACAACAACATCGTTGGAGACTTATCAAATGATCTACATGACTGGTTTTGTGGTGAGTTCGTCAGCTGTAAAATTGTGCGATTCAATGGAGATGTAGAAAAATACTGGAGCTTTGCGCGTACCATCAGACCACGCTCAAAGCTGCCCAGGCTCGCTTCAGTCATTCTTTCTATTGCTGTCAATACAGCGACGTGTGAACGGTACTTTAGCGAGCTAGCCGCAATCCATACAGCACTGAAAAACAGAATGTCCATTGATAAGGCGCGTAAATTTTCACTAGTTCGCCAAGGTATTCGCCAGCTTGACAAAGAAGACAACCAAGGGGTGGAATGCTGTAAAATCAAACGTATTGTTGCTGCCTCAGAGCGAACGCACGTCGCTAACTGTGATACTGTTCCTCCTATCACTCTTGAAGAACTAGAAGAGAATCGAGCCATCGTGAGGCAGGATACTCCAGGTTTAGATACGACTGAATACTGGCAGGATATTTTCAATGTGTTAGATGGAGATGAATTAACGAGCGACGAAAACTGTACTAGTAGTACACAAAACGAAGAGCTGGAGCAAAACGTGTGTGCTGGACTCAAAGACATTCCAGAACCAAATACCACAGAGTTTCCGCAGCGCAACGATAAGACATTTCCACAAGAAACAAAGCTCACTGGTATTCGAGGCCAAAAGTTCAGTCTCAAAACACTTTCCCCATCAGAACGAACGTTTGGGTTGACGCCTTACGTGACTCGATTGCAGCAACGCACGTAAGAATTTAAGAATATATGTTTGCTGGTGCATTAATGAAGAATATATGTTTGTTGGTGCATTAATGAAGATTGCTCGATCTGATATCGTTTCTTCAATCGATACAGCCGTAGCTCGCTTTACCATAATGCTCATCGTCGTGAAAATCGGCATTACCAATTCGCTGTACGTGTACGACCGGACCAGCACTTCGTTGCAGCCCCATCGTACCATACAACAGAACAAGAAGCCACGTCAGCTTACACATGCTACCAGAATGCCTTCAAAAAAGTCATCTCATCAGGTCCAGTTCCTCTTCATCACCATGTTCTCGTTCTTCTCCACATAGTTCCCGCGTCTTTCGTCTCACTAGAGCTTTCTCATCTTCTGTCGTCGACGATGCATTTAAGAAACAATTGTCATGATACCACACGCGGATCTCCAGTACTTTTCCTCCAGCCACCTTGTCCCCCGACGCCCTCCGCCAGCGGCACCACGTGAGCGCCTCTAGACCCGTACACGTCGACTAACACGCCGCCGTACGGCCCGTCCAGCAGGACGTCCATCACCACACTCCTGCCGAGCTCGGCCCTGTCCGCGAGTCGCAGCAGCTGGCGGGCCAGTCGCCCGCCACTTTGATGTGATATATATTGCTCGAACATGGACCAGAGCGGGAAAGAAGACGACAATGACGCTAAGCTTGCGGAGAGTTGGCCATCCGGATGGGTCCGGATACGGATCACATCTTCTGGGCAATCCGGACGGATAATGCCGAAAAATAAAGCCGATTTTGCCGAATTGCCGATCGGCAAAAAAAGGGAAATTGCCGATTTTGCCGATAAAGCCGCGGCAAAATCCAACCCTGTTAGGACGGGTAGCCTGAGAGAAAACTCTGCTCGACACGTTGCAGCACTGGCTCGAAGCCCAATTGCTTTTGCTCGGTCAGCATTTGACACGTTCGATCGACGAATTGTTGGCGGTTGGGCATTTCGCAATCAAAATGAACGTACCGGTACATACTTATGCAGACGTTCACGATTGTCACTCCTGGTGTTGCTTCGCTCATGACGAGCCAATATTTCTCTTGAGAATTAACGCCATTGACAGCAATACCGAACACTTCCAGCAACTGACTTCGTCCCGAAAGCACAGCAACTTGGCGGTGTCTATCGATTATCCGTTTGCCGGCATAGCGGGACTGGGTCCTCACAAGGACCCCATCGTCTTCCAATTCCATTGTGAGCGCTTGCGAAATCGTAGACACTTTTGCATCCCGTTGCGACTGGATGGCAAAAAAAAGTTAGAATTGTAGTTGTGTATTTCAAGATTGAAGCGATATTGAAGCCTACCTGTCCTCGTTCGACTTCATTCTCCACATAGTGTCTAGTCATTTCGTGCCAGAAGCAGTCTGCAACAGCCTTATAGTCGAATGGAATGACCCGATTGAATAGAACGTCAATGGCAGTCACGCTGTCTGTGATTGGACTCACATTCGCAATCGATCTTGGCGCAGTAACGATTTCTGTATGTGACCCTTTGAAAGTAATACTCGTTCGGTATCGGCATAAAGCTGGCCAAGGTCGCCATAAAGACGCT